TCAGTCCAGAAAAGCACAGTACATTTAAGGCAATACCTTTTAATGATCTAAAATCACAAAATTTGTGGTCAAAAAACATGAGCACACTATACTCTTTGTTGTTGAAGTTTTAGCACTAATTTTGGAAATTCTGTACTTGAAAAAAGAAAGTGTTGGTTTGTTTGTATCTGATGAATCTTTAACCCCAAAATGGTATTTTTTCTTAAAACACTTCCAGGTAAAGATGATGAGACAATGAATAAATAAGAGTTCCTTAATTATCYGACTAACATAGGGACCTGTCTTCCTTTTAACTTTTCACTCAGTTTGGATTTCTTTKTACAGGAAACAGGAATGGAACCAGGTAGGTCTCAGGGTCACAGTAATGCATTCAAGGAAAGCTAAAGACATTTAAAGTTGTTGTKTGTTTAAAAAGTATCATTTCTTCACTGCAAACAACAATCAAATATTTGACCTTTGCAAATCAACAAGAGGAAAAGCACTGGTTAGCCTTGGAGGTGAGGCAGGAGTCAGGAGCAAAGGTTGTCATTTGTGCTCTGTGTCCCTGGCTGTGGCAGGGCATTCTGGCCCCTCCCTACTATCTGCATTTCTGATTACATTGATGTTTCTAGTGGATGGCCTCATTGGACTCTCACAAAAACCAGGTGAGTAGCCCTTCCTATTAAACTTATTCACAGAGCATAAACTTGAGACTTTTAGATTTTTTGAGAGCTATAATTAACCTAGTCTCAGAAAGTTTGGAAGCCAGGTCTTCATGAGTTTGGCTAAACTGACCCCTGTTAAATTACATATTGATCCTCTAGGGCTGTTGTCTGAGTCAGTGACCTTGTAGGGTTTACTTTATACTGTCATTTCCTTGGTGATAAGATGTGAGCAGTGGACACAGAGCTCACAGTGGACACAGAGCTCATGTTGCAGACCTCAGTGAGGAATAAATTGAAATCACAGTGATAGTGGCTGCTRTCAAACTAGCAGACAACATACGCTAAGGCACACACTTGTGCATGTTAGCTTTATTAATATTCCAATTTCTTTCTGTTGGCTCTAAGGGGAAGTCATACATATAGGCCCATTTTTCATTCTTGAATAAACACAATTATGGTTTTATTCCCATATTTTAACAACAAACAATACATATGTAAATATTCACAGACACAAATGCTATTTGTGATTCTGTCATATGCACAGGTGAGAATACAGTCACCTTTTGAAGCTGTGTCAACCAGAAGCAAATGATTTCAAGAGYTGGGAGTATTTATCTGGAGAATCATGGAAAAGCTTCCTATGGGTAAAAACACTTGGTTTTCAAGTAAGAACATTTTATCATTTATATTTATATGTTACCAAATTTKATCATCATTATAATCCTTGGAGATGAGTGCATAAGCTGCTTATGAACATTTCTATGTTATAATAAAGTCATATAAATTTGAAACCATGTGTTTTGAAGGATTATATCTGCTCAGATAGGGTCACATTGTAATAAATAATGAATAYATAAAAATAAAGTCTCAAGRYTSTGAATTTTATTCACCCAGTTATTCCTTTCCTCRCCTACATGTTGCCAATATGCATTTGTAGGTGGTTGGACAAGTGCCTGCTGAAGCTTCATGATGCGTTCTGATTCCTTCTTAAGATTCTTCATTCAAAYATGATCAAAGGAATAATATGCTTTAAACTTCAAGGTGGACCAAAACYGTAGAGAGACCATGGCTTCC